ATATAATTATTTATTAAATTGTGTTAATTATTTATTTTGAAACGTTATAGAAATAATGAAAGCGTTATAAATAGATTGTGGTTTACTTTACAATATCAATCATATCTTATACTTTATTAGTTAAGATAATAAGATGATTTACCCCTTATAAAAGGGTATAGAATATGTTGAAAAATTTATGAGAAGTACTTTATTGCAAACATTTTTAGAAAATAGAAAATTTTCATAATTTTAGGTGTGTTAGTGACATTATCGAATTCTCATGATTCAATTAGTTTTTCTAGTAAACTTGGAGAATAAAAACTAACAAAGACTAAACTAATAAGAAAATCCAACACAATATATGTGTATATGAAAGGAAAGTTGTCTTTGATACACGCATTAAGAAAATAATGATTGATATAATTATTTAATAATAATATATTTATTAATTGATGTCTAAAACAATGGAAAATCAAAATGAACAGAGTACTACTTTCCTCTGTACCAGTTTATATGACTTACTTTTCTTTCTAGTCAATCCAAAAAAGAATGACACATTTGTTAAGTAACAATTTAACTTTAAAATGTCTATTTTACCTTAATTAAATTATTTACCGCTACACAAATATTTATCATTTATTTTTCACCACAAATTTTAAAGTCTTTATTTCTTTCTTAAACTTCATGTTAAATCAAACTAACTTACGGAACGGAGGGAGTATTAAAAATTAGAAACACTTTTAACTTAAGATTAGCTACTTAACCACTTTCAGTAAAGTGATGAAAGTGGGGCTAGAAATAGGAGTGGTCAATTTGCTAAATTAGGAGAAAGTCACTGAGAGTGAAAAATACAATAAAGGGTGGAGGGTAATTAATAAAAGTGAAAAGTATGCTTAAGAAAAGTCAAGTTACTTTTGACTATTTATAAGGCTTTTGGGGTAGTTGTATAATTGCCACGTGTTGTGCATTATTTGAATTTTCTTATACTATAAACTTATATTAATGATACTAACATCTTTAGACCACTATTAGCTAACTATGGTGTAAGCAAGTTGGAATTTGAGGATAAATTTGTATTGTTAATGATCAAATGTAATATAAATTTTATTTAAATTTTAAAATAAATTTATATTATTAATTAAATGTAATATGAATATTTCAGACCTAATCGTGAGATATTCATTTGATTAGAGAGTATAATATATGAATGCCAATTTATTAATTTGTGAGAAACTTCGGTTCTTCTATAAAATAGGACGGCAAATTAATTTATTTTGACATCAATTTTAAGTGGAATAATATATTGATCACTCTATATATTTTCTCTACTTTACTTAGTTTGTAATATATTTTTTATGACACATTATTGACATAAGATGATGTCATTCTCGAGCAAATATTTTAAAAGAATAGAAGGTAAGAATTTTCTTTTCCTCAAATAATAACAAATATTTTTAAATTTAAATTTATCGGGCAAAAGCTATATGTGTCGAATACTTGAGGTGGAAATTCATCTTAATGTAATGGATCTGATAGGTACTATGAAAAATAAAAATCAGACATCAAATTAAGATTATGTCAAAACAATGATATTTCTGCATCATCATTTTATCCCTAATATTATAAAAGTGATTCAAATTTTATTCTTTCTTTATTAACTTCATCCATTTATTTTTTTAATAAAATTAAACTCATCATATTAAAAGTGGACAGAGGAAGTAATGCTTATTATTGAAATGGAAAGAACTCTATTGCTAAAAAGAAAAGAAAAAAAGGAGAAAAAGGATTAAACAAACAAAGAGTATTTTAGAGATAATAATTTCTATTTTTAATAAAATGGAAGATGGTAGATGATTTATATTAGGTGGTTCAAGAAGATTATTGTAAGCGTCTAAAGTTTCAATCCTGAAATACAGCAAACAGGAAAGGAAAATAGCAAGCAAACAACAGTATTTGTATTTGAATTTATGCGAAGGTTACAATCTTTATAAAATCTTTAAGAAAAGATATGTAATCCCCTGATTCTTCTCTTCAATGATGTTCTTGATTTGATGGAATACTTGCGGCTCAACTTTTGGAGCGAAGACTTCTTTGTAATTGCGGCTCAGCACTTGGAGCGAAGACTTCTTTGTATGCGGAAGACTTGCAGATCACCACTGAAGAGCAAGGATTCTCTATGTATTTCTATGTGTCTTCTTCTTTTTCTTCCTTCTCTCTTCTGGTCTTATGAAGACCTCTTTATATAGGCTTGAGCTAGGGTTTTAGGGGTATTTTTGTCCAAGCAATTTTGGTCCTTGGGCTTGAAGAACATGAGTTGGGCTTGTCTTGTCAACTTAATGGACTGACCCAAATGTGATTTGGACTTTATTTAAGTCATATATTTTGACTTAAATATTAATCCGACTTTATTAACCAATAATTTGACTTGGTCAATATATCATGAATTTATGGATTAATCCAAAATTTAATATGGATTTATCAATAAAATTTCACTGTCTACAATTATAAAACAAAATTGAGCTACATGGGTTGCAACTTGCATGGCCTCTTCCTTTGAAAGAGTAATTGTTTCTATTCCTACCAATCGAATTTTGTATTTTATAGACTTGAAAAGTCATGGCTTGATCGACATGATCTTTCTCGCTGTTTTCTTTTCTCATATCATACTCTCTTTGTGCGTTAACAAACTGAAGTGAAGTATGGATGTGAAAAGCATTGGCCAACATAACAATCCTTAAGATCTTGTATTTGTTTTAAAGATCTTTGACAAATTGTATAACATTGTTATCTTCGTCTAACGATTTGTGTATAGCAATGAGACTGTCACAAATTTTCTTAAATTTTTTTATATATTCATCTATAGATTTTAATCCCGTCTTAATACTCTAAATTTATTGCTTCAATTCATGAAATTTCTTATCCTCGCTAACTTTTCAGGACATTTTAAGAAATAATAATGTTTTTTGCAAAGTATTTTCGTGTCCCATTTCATACCAGGAGCTTTGGCTAAGGACCAAGTGCATGTTGATTTTATAACTATTATGTGACTGATAATTTAATTATATTAAATCAACTTTTAGAAGATGATTTCATTAATTAATAAAATTGTGTTTAATGTTTTGAAACGTTATAGTAGAAGTAATAAAAGCGCAACATCTAAATTGTGATTTATCTTAACTTATATTTGGACATGCGATATAAAGTATGATTTTAAATTAGTGGTCTTAATTTTTCAAAAAAGCCTGATTTCGAATTTCAAATCACAATTTATTTTTAATTTTTTTTTTGACCCTTGCGTTTATATTTTGTAAAGAAAAAACTCATCATCTTAAATAGGGTTGTTCATGGTTATGGTTAAAAAATCAAACTGAACTGCGATTCAAACCAAACCGATTAAAAAAAATTGATATATGGTTTGGTTTAGTTAGCTTTGGTTTTAAATTTTGAAAATCAATACTATTTGGTTTGGTTTTGATTTTACTAAAAAACAACCGCAAATATTAATCAAACCGAACCGATAAATTAGATATATTAATTTTATAATTATTTATATATTATTCATAAATAAAATATAAATATTTTGTTAAATTTTAATAAGAAAATTATATGAAATAGGAAACTATTAATTCAAATTAAATGTTATAGCTATAATTTATTTTATTTGTAATTCGCAGCAAACATCCTTTTTTTTTGCTATCTGGTTTGGTATATAATTACCCATTCGGTATACAAATGTATAAAATGCGTCTGTGTTCGTATAAAGCGAGAGAAAAGTGTATATACAAATACAAACACAAATATTTTCGTCCAATACACTTATAATTATACAAATACAGATTTTCCCCTGCCCAGTTCTCTTTTGTCTTTCTCTCTTTCTCGTTTTATACAAACACATATTATACAAATTACAATGTATAATTTGTGTTGTATAAAGCGAGCGAGAGATTTGCATATAGATTTCACATATACACTTATACAAAGAACACATACATATACAAATTACAACTATATTATGTACATATACAATGGACAAGCCTAACTGAAACGTTTTATATACAAATTATCCAATTGTATAAATGAATTTATACAAAATTGAACAATTTGTATATAAATTGGATGTATCTAGCGAAATATACAAATCAAAAGCTCCATAGCAAACATAAAATTTGCTATGGAACACAATTATGCAAAATTATAGACTATAACATACAAATATGATTTTTATGTTTGCTATATGTGAAAATTGCTCAATTTTAATTAGAGTAAACTACATAAATCCCACTATTTTAGATCCTAATTACTAGGATTCCCATTAGTTTTTTATATTACTTTATATACCATTTTTTGGCTTTCGGATACATGTATCATGGCCCGTCAGATACATATATCCATCATATTTAAAAATCAAGATACACTATTTAATTACTTTTGAATTAAATGTTGTAACTTATTTCCTTAATTAAAGGAGTAAATGATGGAAATTAACAACCAAAAATGAATATAGAGGATTCTTCCAAATCAACTATTACCAGTTTTACTAAAATATCAAAATACATAAACCTTAGTATTTCTGAAACTGTAAACTTCATCTTCTTCATCAATACCTTTCTGAGAATCCTAAAGTTTCGAGATTTTTTTTCCAAATGATCAATATCACAGTATTATTGAGACATTCGGAGGATTCATGGCTACTCTGAAATCGAATAAAAAATAAAGAATTGATGGAATACAATTTAATAGCGCGCAACTTTGCCGGCACTGATTTCTGATCTTGACAACGTTTCTGGGCCATCAAACAGGGAGTGATGCTTTGTTAAGCCAACCCAGGAGGTGCTCCTTGGCACCCCATCTACTCCCACTCTATGTCAATTCCTCCTCGAAAGGAATAACACATAGTCAGTATTATTACTGCTAAAATAATATTGCATACCACCAAAATATCAACCAAATCAAAACACACTGAATTTGTCCATGGCTTTAACATTGTCAGATTTCATAACACTATGAATTGAGTGTACACATAAAAGTATTGAGATCAGATGTATGATGGAAGACAATTTGATTATTATAATGGAAATTTGAAGTGAGATATTTTATGGAATTTAAAAGATGTAAATTCGATTGCGGGTTATATCCATTATGCATAACAACTAAAGATCAAAATTTTGGATGTAGTAATAATGGTGAAATATCTTTTGAGCGAGATACATCAATTGCTCGATTGGAGTTGAAGGTAGAACCGAAACTACATGTAATGCTACTTCAGATACATATATAAAAATTCGTTCATTTCTTTTCCAGAAACACAAAAAGTGTATAAATATTCTTCTTCCTATTAATTCGATTTTCTTTCTTTGAATCTCGATTCCTAATCTTCATTTCGAATTGTAACCGTGATGGTGAAGTTATTTTTTTAGCCAAATCATCATCTTTTCGTTTTGAAATTGTAAGTGTTAGTGCTGCAAAAATAATTTGAGATATAAAGACAATGAAAGCTTAACATAAAATAATCAAATACATAAAGAAATTATATCAACTATATTAATAAACATACTAAATATAACCAGAGAGGCATATGCACGCCAGATACATTAACATAAAAATGAGATACAACACATTAACGATTTAAGTACATTAATAGAAGTAGATAATCAAGGCGGACTAAAATCAAATACAATTCATAAAGTTTAGATACGTTGAAATTACAATTAGATACATATGAAAATTAAACTAGATACATAATGAAATAATTTTATCAAGTTCTGGAGACATGGCAAGGGAAACTTGATGAGAGAGAACAAATATTAATTATAATTGGATTATTAATTTTGGTGTTTAAATGTAAAGATAATTAATCAATCCTACTTTTAAGAAATTTGTGTATCTAATATTATATTTTAAAATATAAGGTATAAAATATTAAAAGTGGTAATATATGTAATTGTTTGAAAGTAGAGATAATATTAATATATATGGTAGAGATGTATGTTTAGTTAGGTAGTTTTTCCTTTTAATTAACTTAAGTCTTTAACTTTACCATTTTCTCAAGCCCAATACTTTAGTCCAACTATAACAATCTTAAGTCCAAGTCCATCAAAATCAATTTTAGTCTTTACCTACCCTACTTCACATAAAATAGTCACACTTTCTCTTAATTAAATCACGTTCGTGTAATGATAACTCTAGTATTGCTTAATTGAACCGACAATAGCTTTTCTGTGGATTATTCATGTACTAGGTGTTTGTGTCTATCGAGATGCGTACGTCCTCAAAAAAATTCTTACTTTCAAACCGAATAAACTAGAAAAACTTAACCAAACCGACAATAACCAAATCGAAGGTAATTTTTTTTCGTTTGGTTTGGTTTGATTTTAGAAATTTAAAAAACTGACCAGATTGGTTTGGTTTTGGTTTTAATCAATAATATATCCAAACCGAACCACAAACACCCCTAATCTTAAATTTTGGTAAAAAAAAAAAAACCTTTGCTCAGTGTGAAGAGATTATTCAGTTCATTTGAAAAGATTATATTAAAGAATAACTAGTTATTGTTATTGTTGATTAGTGTATCTTCATAAAATTATGTGTATTTGAAATTTTGTAATTACAAATATTTATTTATAAAAGAAACATAAAGATAAGTGATTTATCTATGCGACGTCTTATGAATTTATAAACTATGGTTTGCTTATTTGGTAAGATTGCATAAGAATTCAGAAAATTTTAATAGTTTTCATAAATTGTGAAACTTCAGCTTCATATCAATCTAATTTCATATTCATGTCCAAATGATCCCTCATATAATCAACTATTTTGTACTGTATTAGTCAGATAATAAAATGATTTATCCTATAAGTAGAGAGTAGAAGAAAAGGAACACATTGAAATGAGTGGTATAGACTATAGAGTAGGGATGTGTTTGATACCAAGGAAAATATATGTTTTGATCCGTTAAAATTTTATTTAAAGTCTATCCAACTAACTTTAGAGCAGGGGATTTCAACCCTGTAAGCTCATTCACCATAAAAAAAAATTGAAAAGTTATATGTTAAGTAGATATTTAAAAATAATATAATTGAAACATGTTTATTTTGTGGGTTTATTATTTAATAGGTAAATTTAATAAAATATTATATTACAAAATTGAATTAGTCTCATCATGAAAACTTGTTGGGAGATCTAAATTAACAAGTTAGTGACGGTAATTTAAAGATCTAACTAAAATATAGAATGACAGAAATAAGAATTACTTATTTAAGTTTACTAAATAAGAATGTCAAGTAAGAAGATTGTGATAAGGTGGATGATATTAATGGTGGGAAGTGGGGCTAATGAAGTCCGGTATCAAATTGGTCAGATGAAAGGTCTTGGAATTTCTCAAACCTTAATATTGCTGATAATTTTTTAAATATAAAGCAAAAATTTTAGTAATTTTATTGTCATGTCTTGCTTATGATAATTTTTTGAGCATTATCTAGCTTGGAGCCATGGACAGTATAGCTACTTTACTTTGTTAGGGCCTCAAATTGACAAAATTATTCGAAACTTTCAATCAATGTTAGGCAAGTTCTATCTTTTGCAATTTGAAAGTTCGAACCATATTACAAAAGATAGGACTTGCATGACATTGATTGAAAGTTTAAGATAATTGTCAATTTTTTTCCTTAGTTTAATGGGATTGAATGTGGGGCGGTATCGGGTTATTAAATGGATCCGGGTTTGGATTGAAACTTAATTTGTTTAGGTTAATTACAAATAACCCAATGAAATTGTGCCTCATAAGAAATGAGAAATTTAATTCTCTTGTTAAATATAGCTGTAAAAAATAAGGATATTTCAAGGCCAATAGGTTGACATGAAGGGCATTTTAAAGCCGAAAGGTAAACGAAGATACTTTTATAGCAAATCTGATAGTTTAAAGGTATTTTAGGCCTTTTTTGGTAAATATAATGAAGCTAAAGTTTATCAAAGAATGTGTGTTGTCTACTAAATACATAATTCAAAAAGAAGATACACTAAAGTTTAATTGCTAGCGTGATGGCTACAACACGAGTGTACACTGCAGAGATATATATATATATATATATATATATATATTATAAACTAATATTCATTTTCCCCTCTACTCCTCACAAGGTCCAAAACTGCAAGGCATATTACAAATGGTGACAAAAGAACAAAAACAAGCACAATAAGGGGAGCCACTGAAATTTAATCCACAACTCATTTTAAAATATAATAACAACTAGAGTGAGCCAAATTTATTAGGAATGAAACAACAATGCTTTCTTCAATATTATGTTCGTCATTGACAGAGCTATCAACTCAACACACACATCAAAAAAAAAAAACGTCACAAATTGATAAGCTATTAGCAAAGCATTCCTCACAACAATCAATAATTTCAACTTGAATTTCTGATTGATTGTTCGAACTATTACATTAAGTGTCATCTATCGGTAAAGAATAAGAAACGAACGTATTTTTCTAGTAAGATGAATTCATACAAAGCCAACTATATCCATGGCACAGCAAACAATTTCACAACCTTAAAAGTTAAATGCCAAAAGAGGCATACATATCTGTCTTAGTTATGGTGAAGAATAACGCTCGACACAGCTGATGAACTTTCACCACATTTGCCTGAGACAAGAAAATTATCAATGATATAAGTAGGAACTCGCTTATCATAACTGATGCAAAATATTGGATATATTTTTCCAGATCTAATAAGGTACACAAAACCATAAAATGGAGTTTCAACAAAGTCACACATTAGTATTCCCAATAAATTACAGAAGTACAAGGCATAGACAGGAAAGTGAAAGAGGGTCTGCGTTTTGCGCATAAGATCATTTGATCGTAAGAAAAATATACTTCAATATTAAAAAAGACGTTTCTCAACTCATTTGATCAGACAGCAAGAGAAATAGCCTACAACAGACTAATAGTAATGAACACAGTGCAGTAATTCAGATTAACCTATAACAGAGTACTATGACTATCACAACCAAACCATATGTATTATGTAGTAGTTTCAGTATTATTTCCAAATTCCTTTTTATGGGCTAACAATTTGAAGCAAATTAAGATTCATCTTCAATAACATGGGTTACGGGTTCAGGCAAACAAGACTAAAAAACCAATGTTATTTTTCAAACTAGTGATCACTGACAGTCAAACTTTATTTCGCTCACCAGACTAACAATGAGGTTGCTTCAGCTTTCAGTTATATTTCTTCAACCATATTTCCAGGCTCACCTATGGTACACCTTCTTAGCTTTTTATTTCCATTTCTTTCTTCAACCACTTACTTAAAACAATCAAAAGGTTCTCACTTTGCCACTGGAATTCCAAAAACAATCAAAGCGTTCTCATCCCCAGGGATATTGTTAAAGAAAGTTAGGCTCCTTACTGATGCTTTCATTTAAGGCAGGTAAATTGCTGATGCAGCTTTGATTGCTAATGAAGCTCTTGATTGGAAACTAAAAAGTGGGAAGCATGTATTTTTCAAAAGCTGGATTATAGAGAAAGCTTTTGATCAACTAAATTAGTCATATCTTATCTCTATGCTAAGAAAAATCAGGTTTGGTGATAGCCTGATAGGTGTGTCAGATGGATCAAGTTCAGCATCTCTATAGTCAAGTTCTCAGTGTAGGTTAACAGTTCTCCAGTAGGATTTTTAAGGGTCTTAGACAGGGGGACCCTTCTCACCCTTCCTCTTCATCTTGGCTATGGAGGGACATAAAAAAATGTAGGATAAATTTGTTCAAATGAGTTAGTTAAAAGGTTTTGAGGCTGGGGCTCTGGGAACTCAATCACTGCCTCTCACTTACTCTAGGCTGATGTACTTTGATATTTTGTCAAGCAGACTTAACCCAAGTTCTAAAACTTGATCTCACGCTCTTAATATTTGAAGCTTCATCAGATCTTCACCTTACATTGTTGAAGAGTGTGATGTATCTGCTTAGTTCAGTGCCAAATTTGACTGAAATGGTAGATCTTTTGTACTTCAGTACTTGTATTTTGCCAACTACCTAGTTGGGGCTTACATTGCTAAATTCAGAGCTATTGGAATATGGATAGAGTATGAAACTTGGAGAAAAGGCTTGCACCGTGGCAAATGCAGCATCTCTGTGGAAGGTAGACTTACACTAGTCAACAGTGTTCTGTGGAAAACATCCCCTTACACTAGTCAATAGTGTTCTGTGGAAAGCATCCCCACTAACTACATGTCTCTATTCCTATGCCAGGTAAGGTTCTCAAGCAACTGGACAAGATTAGGAGGAATTTTCTCGGGGTAGGTAATAATAGTTCTCATAAAGTCCACTTTGGTGAAATGGACCAAAGTCACTCAACCAATATCTCACGAGGTCTGGTAATAAGAGACCTTGCCATTCATGACAAATGCATGACAATGACATGGCTATGGAGGTATGGCCAGGATGTTTCTGGAAGAAAGTGGTTAAAGCAAAGCATGGAACCTACAATCATTGGTGCACCAAAGTTTCAAGAACACCTCCAGGGATATGTCTACGGAAAACTATTAGCAAGCTATGGGAGGAATTTTCACAGAATAATTTTTCTCAGTTGGAAATTCTAATATTAGTTTCTGTAAAGATAAGTGGCTAAGCAACTCTGTTCTAATGAAAGCATCCGACTATTCCATCTTTGCAGTGATACTAACTCATCCATTTCTCATTAGCAATGGGAAAGCTGGAACATTATATATAGAAGGAATGTCAATGACGGAGAAGATCTCCTAGGTCTCCTAACAAAGTTGGACAACTCAGTGATTAGTGATGCATCAGAATCCAGATAGTCTGAAATGGGGTCATAGAAAAGAAGGAATAGTCACAGCTAAAAAAGGTTACAATCATTATTGTTCCCACAATGGTATTTGGAAACTGATTTTGGAGGACAAAGTTACCAATGAAGATAATGTGCTACAACTGGCTAGGACTAACATGGAGCATGCTAGACCCAAGACAACCTCGTCATAGGAAAATTTCAAATTACAACTAGATGCTACATGCCCAAAAATCAGTAGAGTCAATCACTTACTGCTCCATTGTACAGTTGCAAATGACATTTGAAATATGTTTTCTTCTATTTGTGGATTTAAATGGGGCATGCCACAAAATCTGAAGTAAGCAGGTGAATGTTGGAGCTCATGGAAAGTTGATAAAGCCATCAGGAAAGTCTGGACTATGATACCAGCCAGCATTTTTTTGGATAGCATAGATAGAAAGGAATCAAAGATGTTTTAATGGTGTATCAACTCCAAATCACTCTCTCAAGGCTAAATCTGTCCTACTTCTCTTTAGTTAAAGTAAACTTTCCCCTGTAATTTCCCTGAATAGTTTCTGGACTTTTTTTGCTCACTGCACATAGATTAGTTTTTTTTTTTGGTATTTGGAGCTAACAGTTTCATTGCATTTTAGCATAGTCTCACTTTTTTTGTCCAGACACTGTCCCTTCTTGTTTGTTTTGTTAGTTCCATGTCCTAGCATATACAAATGTATTGGAGCTAACAATACTTCTTTTGCAACCATTGCATCTTCTTGATGCCAGTAATGCAACAACTTACTTCATCTAAGAAGAAAGTTAGGCCCCTTATGACAGGTTACTACCAAAATAATCGCATCTATTAACAAGGTACTACTAATAAAAATTACTACAAAATAACTTGAATCTATCTTAAATCAGATCAAATAAATCAGGAAACAAGAGAAATATCAGAACTTGGTGTAGCTTTATAGACAATGGTGGTCAATGGAGAATTGGCATAAATTTGAAGAACAACAGGTTGCCAAATGGAGTGTTCATGAAATTTGTTCATTCAGATGTCATGATTTTGCTACTCTGGCTTGACTATTTTTTCCAGCTAAATTCATTTTGACTAATCCATGTATATTAAGTTGCATTTCACTTAGGATTTGAACCTAAGACCGTATAATTCTCCTCTCACTTTCTTGACCACTACGCCACACCCTTGGGTGCATTCAATGCTTCTTTAAAGGTTTTTACTTTCTCATTTCTGCTGTCGGGGATGGTAAGCTGCTGGGAGTCACAACTTTCGTGAGAACAATTATCCCATCTGCTTTGAACCAAAATCACTACTAGAACCTGGTGTTACCTCGTAAGATTCATAGTTAGGTGATCAGAACAGAAAAAATGCATCTTTTTACAATCCAATGAATTCTCTAAGGTATCAAATAAGAATGCATCTTTTTACAATCCTTCCCCTACATTCATTGAGATTCGACCATATAGACTACAAAATGGCATACATGTATATCACTATGCAAGTTCACTATAATCTATTTTTCAAAATGAAGAATTAAACTTCAAAGCGATAATCAGTTTTCTTTATTGATTTACTAATCCCAGTTGCCACTCCTTTCCTACATCCAATCTCCACCATCACATTTATGAACAAAACATACATGAATTTGTGATAGTTGCTGAAAAATTCAACTAATTGCAAGTAATACGGACAAAACTAAACTTTTCTCCAAGAGAAAACGAAACACATACCTATTGAAGAGCTCAGAAGCAAATCGAAACCCGTTGTAACACATAAACCATAGCAACACAAGCACCAAAATATCTAAAAAATGTTAAGAACTCCAGATCCAACCAAAATCTGATAACTAAATCATAGATCAGCAAAATGAATTGAAAATCAATAAACTAGAAAGAACTTTATCAGATCTAACAAAATTGATGAACATGAGAAACAAAAAAAAAAGGATACTGAAGAGACAACGTTCCCACCAGTCGAGCATGTACAAACCAAAAGTAACATTGTAGAGATAAATTTTCCGTTGAACCCAATTCATTTTTCTCCGTTTAAGCAGAAAAAATTTGAAATATGAAGAAGAAATTTGATAGCCTGTAATGATGAAATTGCTTGATCGTGCCGCCTTTTAAACACGCTTACGCCTTTCAGCCTCCCTATTAGAATTTTCCTCTTCCAGTCTCGTCGTCAATTTTTCTTTGTCGTTTTCCGGTGATCAAATTACAAATTAGCCCCTTCGAACAAGAATATTACACATCACCCCTTTAGGAGTCGTTTGGTAACTCAACTTATTCATATACTAATTTATACGACATTTGATAATTAGATAAAAAATAAGTTATCATAATGTTTGGTTGATAATTTAAAATTTCGCATAACTAATTTATGTATTCTTTTGCATAACTACTTGTATTAGTTATATTGATTATTTCTTACGTAGTGTTTGGTTGATATATTAAAAATAATATGCATTGAATTTTTTTTAAAATAAATATTTATTTATAAAAAAATCCTCTATAAATTTGGCAGAAGGAATACGAAAACGATTTTTAGGGGGCAATTGTGTCTTTAGCACGCTATAATGCATGTATTAACAACCTTTGTATTACTAATACAAAAACCATGGATTTTCATATATTAGTTATAAATAACTTAATAGGCAAAATGGTCTGGTGGACTCCTGTATTGTACCCGTTTGTATTGTGAACACTTCTACTTACCCCTTTGTCATCTGAACCCTTACACTTAATGACACACAATATCTCAAACCCCTCTGACCATTGACCTTGCTTATGTGGCACTAATATGGTTGAGCTGGCAAGAGAGTGAGATCACACGCCTATTAAGGCAAGTGAACATCATATTTAAATTTAAAAAATATTTAAATTAGAAGAGTAAAATAATAAACTTAAAAAAGAAAAAAGAAACCCTTCTTCTTCACCCAACGACCTACTTTTTTCAGTCATCTCCATTTTTATCCAACCCTCTTTTTTTCTTTCTTTCATCTTCTTTAGGTGGTCTGGTACACCAGAGACGGCGAGGAGCATGATGGTACACCGGAGGCAGCGAGGAATGTTCTGGCCTTCTGGTACGCCGAAGAGGATGGAGAGCATAGGGGGTCCCTGGTGGTTCGCAAGAGTCGTCGATGGTACGAAAAAAGGAAGACAGTGAAGAGGGAAACGAGGCTGGCGAGGGGCAAGGAGCTGGTGCGACGGCTTGTGGTTTTTGGATTTGTGGAGGTTGGAGAAGGAGGAGGTAAGTAGAAGGATTCACAATACAAACGGGTACAAGTACAAGGGTCTACCAGACCATTTTGCCTAACTAAATACCAAATAAAGTGTAATAAACAAGATATTAGTAATACACAAAGCTAGTACACGCATTATTTTTTCTAATACACTCTGACAAACGACTACTTAATCTTATGTTCTTAAATTAAAGATGTATTAAAAATATCAAAATATCTTTAATCTTTATTTTAAATATATCATGTGAAAAATTATAAAAATATATAATATACAAATACATTTTTTACTTGGTTTCAACTCGCAAATATATATTTTGTGTAGGTGAGAGGCAAGACACAAGACGTTGGTGTCCAAAAAAGAAAAAAAAAATTGAATAAAAATGTGTCGATGTTAGTCTTTTATGTAAGAAACAAATGTAGAAGTGAGTTGACAGTTTATCTACAAAGATGTTTGAATAAGTTTACAAGTGGGTTAAATTGATTTATAAATGTTTTAAATTTATTTATGTGTTTGGTAAGCACTTATAAGTTAAATATATCAGCTAAAAGTTATAAATAGATCATTTTTCAGTTATAATTTTTAACTTATAAATATTTTTTATTTTGATTATATATTTTATTATTTTTTGTTTAATATTTATCCTAAGTCTAAAATATATATTTTTAAAAATGAAAATCTCAACTTTCTCTTTATTCTGTAAATGTCGTTCCTTTTTTATTTTTAATATATGAATACTTTTTGGCAAAATATTCAAAAATATGTTAATCATTTTAATAAAAGAACAATTTATCAGAATTTTTTTTATCGAATATATTAAATGCTTATTAATAATTTCAATACAAAAACTCATATGATTTGAATACATCAAGATCAAGTGCTTATTGATAGTTTCAAATACTTTAATATAAAAACTCATATGATAATTGATTAAATTTGTGGATGTTGAAGAACTTAAATATGAAGTAAACTGAGCTTCTTACTCAAAAGGTGGTGGCACAATGAAGCAACAATGTGTTCTCCAGGGACGTGAAGCACAATCAATGTCTAATTTTTTAAATATATATTTAATAATTTTGACCTTTTAAGTTTTTAAAAGTTATCACTTTAGTCTCCAAGTATAATTTTTTTAAAGAAAAATAAGGGGAACTCTCATTTGAAGATACAATTTTTTTAGTTTTTTTTTTCTCTAGAATTGGGTACAATTTCTTTGAGATATAATTTCTGTTATTTTTTTGTTTTTTTAGTGTTTGGTATAAATTCTCCATGTTGCATATTCTACGATTAAATAAAACTTTCTTGATGTTTATAATTGGATCTTTTATTTTTTCGTCTAACCTAATAGACTTCGACAAATATTTTACGAAAACTAAAAGTGTTTAATCTTTTTGACAAATACCAAAGAACAAAATTGGTAAATGCATACTTGAGAGATTATATTTTTGAACAATACTTTCAAACATTAGGGATCGTTTTCTCGTTTATCATCAAGAGCTATATATATATATATATATATTACTTTGACGTTACTATCTGCAGATCAATTATCTCCTTCAAGCTTCTTGTTTAAACATAAAATACACAAAATGATTGAACTCTCTTTAGTAAATATACATGACATTAGAACTCGATATTGCTATAGAAAAGTCTGTATATTTAACATTTATGGAGATATGCCTGGGCAGGGATTAGTATATTATATATAGCACACACCAAGATTTCTACTGTAATTGTTGGGTGACCTGAGGGTAATAGGAACACGATACAATCCATTGCAACGTCGTTTCCAAGATTGATAAGCAAGAATATTCAGGATTTTCACCAGCAGAAATAAAATAGTATGAAGACCCGAGTCTGTATTTGCATCAATTGTCACACTGTTGACAAGCACCAAAGTCTTCATGTTTAAGACTATCAAACCTATCTACCACCAGCAACACATAAATCCAACCTAAATGGATGGATATAATTCAGAGTAAAACAAACAATGCTCCGAAAAGGAAAACAGAAACGAGTTTTACATCTAGCACTAGTCCAAGGCGGTAATTCCTATAAGCCATCCAAGAATCCCCATGTCATAAGGCTTGCTGAGCACTTCTGACAACTTAGAGGATACAACTAACCATCATAGTCCCCTTCGTAGAACTTGTTTTCTGGATAGAAGACAGCTACAACTTGGTTGCCACCAAATTTTCTTCCATTCAAACTTTGCCGAGCTTTGCTGGCACTTTCTACATCTCCATACTCCAAAAATACCTGAAAGGTACACAAAGGGTTTAGCAGTTCCACATTTTAGAAGTGATAACCAAGCCACTGACAAAGAACCAATCCAACAGATTGGACCCTTTCTTTCAATTGGCTGAAAACAGCCGTCATTTGAGGAAGTTATAACTAATCGTACTGAAAAGCCTCTTCATAAAAGTTGCAAGCAATTTTTAGGTCATTGCAAAGAACTTTAGATCCAAGTTGTCACTTTCCTAGTAAAATATAACATCACTAGTAACAACTTATGAACTTTAAATGACCCAGACTAAGAAATCTGAAGACATATTTTTACCTTTCCAACCCCTGGTGCGTGCTCACCATCAGGACTTGGCCGTGGAATAACAACATTCACCAGTGGACCTGCAGAATATATATCAAAGTGGATGATTTTTTAAGTAAGTATTGCTACAATATTTAAGCCATATGCTTAGCACAAGGGAAAAAAGGATCTTATCTAACTACCCACCAAATTTTCCACATTCAGTTCTCATGTCTTCTAAAATATCTTGATAGTCCTCATCATTACTGAGCTCATCTACCTCAACAACTTGTGTTAAGCACAAGACCTTTGTGGCTAATGCACCAGGTTGTAACATAAATCTCTGCAAACAAAAAAAAAGACATGCATTAAGGGGTGAGCAGCCAAATTGTTGCTAAGGAATTGAAAATTGAATAAGAGAGCACAGAAATGTCTCACCTGCAAAGCTATCTGCTGTTGTGCATGCAACAATACACTCTCTTGCTCAGGTTTAGGTTGTGTCGTACCCTGGTTAGCACGCCTAACAGTAAGGGTTTTATCACCCATCTTAATCCCATTGAGAGCTGCACAAGCAATATCAGTAACGGAAACATCCTGATAGACACAAAAGGCATAGCCTTTTGAGTTCCCAGTTTCTCTATCTTTGACCAGATCAAATCCTCTAAGTGCACCAAAAGACTCTAACAGCTCCCTAATCTGTGCTTCTGTGAAATAGTAGGGCAAACCACCAACAAAAATACGATCAGGGCCTTCAAGCCCTCCTGCAGAACCTGGGGACAATCCAACAGCTGCCAGGTTGAGGTTTGGGTTTGGTTGGCTAGGACCAAGAGTAGCAGCCAGAGAAGGGTTGTAATCACTGGGTCTTCTGACCTTACAAGGTGCGCCCTGCACAAAAAACACCACAGACAGAGAAGCACAGAGCAGTCAGTTCAAAGGAGGGACATGTACTTGATATTGATGCAATAGGAAACAATGATACTTTGATAACAAATTAAACAATAACATCCGATAAGTTCCAGCAATGATAACAATGAAAAACAAAACAAAAAAATAGCGAAGAAACAGGTCTGAGGATATTCAGCTCTTATAATGGGAAGTGGATGAAATGTGTTGCACCCAAAATGTTCTTGGATTAAACAAGATCCAAGGGACAGAATAGTTGCATACCCTAAACTAAAATTTTCTACATCCTTGCTTTCTCCCAAGTGGATAAACCACCTACAACTATAAATAGTAAAAAGTATAGCTTCTTTACGACTTCAAAACTACTTGATCAGCTATAACACATTCAGGTACCTCAAATATGATGCCATCCAATGCCATGGCATTACTAGCTTCCTCTACAGATCTCATTTCAACAAAAGCAAACTTCTTCTCATAGTTTATATAGACATTGACAACAGCATCACCTGAAAATTCCAACAATACTCTGAGCATCTGAAAGGTAAATTAAATTGTACTTGTATGACAAAGGAGATCAAATTTTAAACTAACCTGGACCAGCTGTATTTCCTCCAATTGCAGACATAACATGACTAAAGAAGGTCGCAACAGACTGTAGAGAATCAATTTGTCAAGACAGATATGTATGAGAGCAAAAGCAGAGATAGGTCATAGAAAATCAACTTTGACAAGGAAGATAAAATGTTAGCATAGTAATCTTTTTGATAACATGCGATCACACAAAAGTTATAATTATAAGAATTATCAATAGTAGTGACCAACATATTATCATCTTCACCACTGGAGGAGGAGAATTTAGACGGAGGTACAGGAAGCTATTCCATTGGGTATCCAATTTCCAGAAGAAGACATGAGCACTTCGGACTGGATACAACAAAATATAATCAAACTAAGCTCGGAATTTGGGGTAAATTTCAAGGGGTCTGAGGAAAAGGCGAAGGAATTGTTGATGAAGATTGATAGCAATAAACAAGAAAACAGGGGGGAACAGAGTGAACAAACAACAGGCAAGAGGAAAGGGTTATTAGAACTAAAAAGGCTGCAATTGGATTCTAAGTTCTATAGCAATGGTACTAGAAGTAAAGGGGGGGTTTTGGCCATTATGGATCAATGAATTTAAACATTGTGTCATGGAATGTGAGGGGGCTGAATTGTGGGAGGAAAAGGAGTATTATCAGGAACATGATAAGAACTTGGAAAGCAGATGTGGTATGTTTTCAAGAGACAAAAATGGAGGGGGAGATTGCTAATAAAGTTAAGGAAATCTGGGGTAGTAGGTGGCCAGATTACGTGCAACTCGAAGCTAGTGGGACGAGGGGAGGCATAGTAATTATGTGGGATAAAAGAAGATGGGATGGGGAGGTGAGTAGTGTGGGTGCATTTTCAGTTTCTGTTTGTTTCTCTGTAGTGTGGGTGCATATTCAGTTTCTTGTTGTTTCTCTGGGAAGAATCTGGATCTTAAATGGCATCTAACAGGTATCTACGCCCCGAATGACAGAGCAGAAAGGGAAGAAACTTGGTGGGAGCTAGGGGCAGTAAGAGGTCTATTCACGGGCCCTTGGGTCCTATGTGAGGATTTCAACACTGTGAGGTATCCTTCTGAGAATCTTCCCTGTAACAGAATCAGCAGGGCGACAGAGTTATCAGAGTTCATTGAAGACATGGAATTAATGGACTTAGACTTAGCAGGGGGAGAGTTCACTTGGAGAAGAGGTGACAGACACTCCACAGCAGCAAGGCCAGACAGGTTTCTGATCTCTGAAGAATGGGACTCAAATTTCAGGAACATTAAACAATCTGTCTTACCGAGAATTGTCTTTGATCACTCCCCATTGATGCTACAATGTGGAGAATGGGGGACAACCAAATCATATTTCAAGTTCGAAAATTGGTGGTTGACCACTGATGGATTCAATGACAGAGTTAAGACATGGTGGGAGTCTTCTCAGTTCCATGGAAAACCAGACTTTGTACTGGTAGCAAAGCTAAGGGCCTTGAAAGCCAAGTTGAAAGAGTGGAGCAAGACCAGTCAAGGCAATCTGAGTCAACAGAAGCAATTGGTACTAAGCCAGTTAGCAGAATTTGAAATGATACAGGACCAGAGAATTTTGGAGGAAGGGGAGATAGCTTCCAAATTGGCTCTTACTACTGAATTTGAGGAGACAATTAAAAAAGAGGAAACAACATGGAGACAAAGATCTAGGGCAGTATGGCTTAAACAGGGGGATAGGAATACAAGCTTCTTCCACAAAACAGCAAATGCACACAGAAGAGTCAACACTATTGATAAGATTAAAGTCACAGAGGAGTTATAGACTGAGCGTGCTGAGATACAAAAGGAGATCATAGAGTACTATGAGAAGTTATATGCTGAAACTGAGGACTGGAGACCAGACTTAGAAATGAGAGAGTGTCCTACGATTGATGAGGATGACAATAACCAACTGATGGCCCCTTTTGAAGCACAGGAAATCCTAGAAAGCATCAAAGCATGTGTCGGGGACAAGGCCCTGTAACACCCCGAAAAATGATAGGTTAAACTAGAGCCTAAACATAAGGTTAAAAGTCGTAAAATGACTCCCCAAATTTTAACAAGTCATTTAAGGTTGAAATAAGGTTATTTGAGACAAGACCAAGGGACAAGTGCCAAGGCAAAGGGGCCAAGCCAAGGCCAAAGGCCAAAGGCCAAGACTGCCCCTAGAAGCCTCATGCTTAATGAAAGTGCAAGTTACATTAATCAGTATAATCTCACAAGTGAAATGTACCATTGACTTCAAAATCACATTAGTAGTGAAATGTACCCTCGACTTCAAAATCATATTAGTAGTTGTAACAAAAAAGGCAGAGGTTTATTTGGAGCAATCCATCAAGCTTTACTGGACTTGGTAGACACCGACCCGTTATCCTTCCACTGCACAGAGCGGGAGCTGTTCACTGGAGCACACTGCCCCCACCTTCACGAGAGGGACCACGGACCGTGGTCCACTCCACGACTCGTGAAGGGGGTCATGAAGTTCCCTTGGCCTTGGAAAAGTGGCCACCCAAAACCTTAGCCACTGCCTCAACTTCACGGAAGGGACCACGGCTTGTGGTCTTGACCACGGCTCATGGAGCCCTTCGTGAAGGAGACATGGGCATGGGGGCATGAGGTAGCCTAGCTACTGCCTCACCCCTCATGAGCAGGACCACGGGTCGTGGTCCACTTCACGGCTCGTGATGATGCCTTAGGCGAAGGAGCCTTAAGCTCCAAAGACATGGCCACTGCCTCACCTTCACGGGCAGGACCACGGCTCGTGAAGGTGGCCCGTGGTCCCTGACGAGGTGAGTTAAATGAGGGTTAGTTGGGTCATTCCCTTTTAATCCAATTAAAGTGGGGTTGTTTTGGGTATTTTTAGGGGAAGTATATAAGTTGTTTGTAAGTCAAATTTCACAAGACTAAGTCATTATTCACAAACACCCAATTGAAATAAAAAACTTCCTCCTCTCTCAATATTTCTCTCTCTAAACTTGAAGAAGAAGCAAGAAGCCATTGGAGCTAGGGTTGGCAGATTTTCAAGGTTCTTCCCCAAATTTCTTGGAGTTTCTTAGTCAAGGTATGGATGCTTTTCATCTTTGGGTAGCTATCACCCAAAGAGCCCCTTCAAACTATGTTTTTAAGATTCCAAATCCCCTAAACCTAAGGTTTTCAATCTATTGTCATGGGTCTCCTTCTAAAACGTTTTCAATTGCTTATTTATGGTTGATTATGATGAATTATAGTTGGATTAATGGAGTATTGATGTTTTATGATGAAAATCTCCCTTGGACCCATGATTCCCCCTTCTTCCTAAATTGTTAACTATGGTATGGCTTGATTGATGATGGGAACTTGACAATTGATTATGTTTACATTGATTAAGTTGTTGAATCATGATATCCCTCCATCTAATGTGGTAAATTCTAGAAGTTAGGGTTGATCTTGATTCATAGCCTTGAAGGGCAACTTGTTAGGGTTTGTACATGTTGCTGAGGATTGTATATGAATTTGTGATTCACTTAGATAGTGATGATCCTATGACTATTGTGAAATTGTGGTATTGATGCAAGATCCTTCTTCCCTATACCCTTACACTCGATTATGCATGAAGTATGTATGTATGTTTATGATAAGCTTGTTGTGTTGATTGAAAGGACATTCTCATGAACACACTATGAATATGATGTGAAAGGTTTACTCACATGTTGATGATTCTAAGGTTGAAAGGACATCCTCACCTAATGAATCTATGGGCTATTATGATGTGAGTTGGTTTGAGTGCCTAGTGCATTCTCTTATGAACACGAACTTAAGTAAAGACTTAATATGAATTCTAAAGGGAATTATGCTTAGCACCGAGTGGATATGAGTATGAGATGGGTTCCTTCACGCTAGTAGTTGGGTTCCCAAGTATGGTTATCTCATGAGATGGAAACCTCCACTTTAGTAGTTAGGGTTTCTAGAAGCAATCTCCTTATCCCATAACTATGTGCCACATAGGTCTTTAGCTAGTGGATCCCCCTAAAGCTAAATGTACGTTCTACCTTAGGCAAGTAGGACACCACTTTTCGGTGTGGGGGTAGAACACCGAATTCCATGTCGCTCACATGGTCTATGTCGGTTAAGGCTATTATCCCTATATGATATGAATATGAACTAAGATAAGAACATGGACTTTAATTATGACTTCTCAAGAGATACTACTTAGTATGAGTGGGGGTATGGGACTTCACTTACGCATTGCACAAGCAGACCTTAAGAGAGGTTATGGTGAGGTTCTCTTATGTTATGAAGACGTATGGATTATGTATGTAAGATATGTATGGATGTTAAGATTGACTTTACCTGTTACAAGTTATGAACATGGATAACTCCTTACTTATGTATATTGACTATGGATGAACCAAAAGTAAAATATGTATGTTGTTGGTGACCTAAATGTGATACTTAGCATTTGGTAGGGTTATGGGATCTTACCTTTGCATTGCACTAGTATGGCTTTGGGTTGCTTATATGTTGGTTTGACTTATGTTTCTTCATAAATGTGCATAATGGCTTTTAAACTTGATAAAGGCATGATTTCAACTAAATGTCCCTTTTTGCATGTTTTAAGGATTTTTATGCATGGCATCCATACTTAGTACATTATTTATGCTAACCCATATTTCTACATTTACTATGAGTGTAGGTTCCGATCGTTGAGATGTACTTCTTCTTTCAAGTAAAGCTTGGGTTGACTATTCCCTAAGCTTGGTGAGTCCTCATGGTTCGGGGACAAGACATTACTCATTCCTAGTTTCTATTGTACTTTCTATTTTTGAGACTTTATTGATGTAAAGGGTTTTGACCCTAATTGTACTCTCTATTGTACTAGATGGTGATTGAGACATGGTCTAGACTCTTATTTTCATTCATGAAAAAGAAGTTGACTTCAATTGTAAAAGTTTTAAAATTTCCACATCATTTCTATGGCTTTATGTTTATGATTATGCTAAGGGCTTGTATGAGACCCCTTCGGGGTCAAGTACGCCGTGTTACTGGTCTAGACTCTTATTTTCATTCATGAAAAAGAAGTTGACTTCAATTGTAAAAGTTTTAAATTTTCCACATCATTTCTATGGCTTTATGTTTATGATTATGCTAAGGGCTTGTATGAGACCCCTTCGGGGTCAAGTACGCCGTGTTACGTCTAGAGGGTACCCCTGGGTCGTGACAGGCCCCTGGCCCAAATGGTTTCTCCATGGCTTTCTTTAGCCAGTGTTGGAAAGTCATCAAAAAAGAAGTGGTAGCAGCAGTTCAAAACTTCCATGAGGAAGGGGTATTTGAGAAGAGTATAAATGCTACTTTTGTGGCCTTGATACCCAAGAAGACGGGCCGTGGAACTAAATGACTTCAGGCCAACAAGTCTAGTAGGAGGAGTGTACAAGATAATTGCAAAACTATTGGTTGAAAGACTGAAGAAAGTGATACATAAGCTAGTGGATAGACAACAAATGGCATTCATCAAGAATAGGCAGATCATAGATGCATTATTGATAGCCAATGAATGTGTACACTCTAGGGAGAGAGACAAGAGACAAGAGACAAGCAACCAGGGATCCCATGTAAACTGGATATCCAGAAGGCATATGATCATTTGAATTGGAACTTTTTGATGAATATGTTGCAAAGGATGGGATTTGGACCAAAATGGCTAAAGTGGATTAGACAGTGCATAAGCTCAGTGAAATTCTCTATTCTGATCAACAGAAGCCCATGTGGCTTCTTTTCATCATACAGAAGTCTGAGACAAGGGGACCCCTTATCCCCTTTTCTCTTTATCTTGGCCATGGAAGGACTGAACAACCTATTTCAGACAACAAAAGTGAAGGGCTGGATCAGAGGTTTCCAAGTGGAAAATAATACAAGAAATAACCTAGAGATTACTCATCTACAAAATGCAGATGACACTCTAGTATTTTGTGATGCAGTAGAGGAGCAGATGTTGATTTTGAGGGTCATCTTCAATATTTTTGAGGCTGCTTCAGGTCTGCAAATAAACTGGAGCAAGAGTTTCATCTATCCAGTCAACATAGTGATAAATATTGAAGACTTAGCCAACAAACTAGGAGGGAAAGTGGGTGAATTACCAACAACCTACTTGGGAATGCCTTTGGGGTCTTAAGAGCAAGTCAAAAGAACTATGGAGTGGAGTAATTGAGAAATGTGAAAGGAAGCTTGCAAACTGGAAGTGTCAATATTTATCGTCAGGTGGCAGATTAACTCTAGTTAATAGTGTCCTAGATGCCCTTCCCTCGTACATGATGTCATTATTCCCTATACCAGCCAAGGTAACCAAGAGGTTGGATGCAATTAGGAGGAACTTTTTATGGCAAGGAAGCGAAGATAAGAGACAGTACCATTTGGTCAAATGGGAGGAACTGCTGGTAAGAAAGAGAGGGGGTGGACTCAATATCAGAGAGCTGAAAACCCAAAACAAGAGTTTGATGATGAAATGGTTGTGGAAATTTGCCTCACCAGAAGTATCTCTATCGAAGGAAGTAATAATATAAAAATATGGCATGGAGGATAAATGAATGACAGAGGTGGTCACCAACCCTTACAATTGTAGTGTATGTAGGTCTATCAGGAACCTATGGCAACTGGTCAGAGAGAGAACAAGTTGCAAGGTAGGCAATGGAGAAAAAGTAGCTTTTTGGAATGACATTTGGTGTGGACAGGAGGCACTCAAACATGTTTTCCCTGTACTACATAGTCTGAGCCAAGCACAAGAAGCAACAGTGACAGAATTATGGACTGGACAAGGGTGGAATCTGTTTCTAAGAAGGAGCATAAATGACATAGCAAGATTTCATGATACAATGCAAATGGCTACCAATCTGACAGGAGAGGAAGACAGACTAGTATGGAAGGGGGAGAGTTCACTGTAAAATGAGCATACAGAGAACTCAGGTCTACTGAGGAGCAGCATGCAGGATGGCCCGGGAGGATGATCTGGAGAACAGAAATTCCCTACAAGGTGAATTACTTCACATGGCTCTTGGCAAAGCAGGCAGTCTTGACACATGAGAACTTAAACAAGAGGAAACCCAATCTACGTTCAAGTTGCTATCTATGTGAAAAACAAGTGGAGACAGTCAACCATCTCTTTTTACACTGCAAATGGACAGATCAATTGTGGCAGATGTTCATCCAAAAGAGGAAGATTACATAAGTCCTACAATGCTGGAACAGGGATGGAAATGCAGGAAATAAAAAAGAGATGGAGGATTGTTGCAGCTTGCAATTGGTGGACAATTTGGAAGGAAAGGAATCAAAGATGTTTTGAAGGAAAACAGAACAATATCCAAAAGATAAAGACAAATTACCTAGGGCTTTACTATTTTTGCTGTAAGTAAGTAGTGATAGGAGATGCTGAAAATGTGTTTAATATTATTGACTGGCTGTAACTAGAAGATCTTAGGAATGATGTAAGTAAAACTTTTTGGAGGGGGACTACACTTTGATGTAGTATACCTGTGGATATATAGAAGTAAATGTTCCCTTTCTCAAAAAAAAACACAGGAAGACAAGCTTCATTTGATAAACTTATATGTGTTTCTATTAAACGAGACTTTGGCCTCTATAACACAAAACTGAAGCTAGAGTCAAAAAAAGGATAGGAAGTTGAAAGTCGTTGACAAAAAAATGCTAAAAATATCACACAAGAAACATAATTAAATTAGAAATAATACCGACGGGATATGAAATGAGGTTGGTTCTATCATATTTTACTAGAAAATTATTAAATTTCAAAATACTAATTCTTTAAATGTAAAACTCGAATAGTCTTTAAGAACCATCCATAAAATCACCACATACTATTTTTACATAGAGAATAATCTATATTATAATGAAGGCATGAATATAAAAGTTGGTTGACCAAAATATCCTTCAAATATTGAATGAATCTTATACCCTTAATGAACTCTTATCCTATATTTTACCTAATTTTTAGAATTTAAATGTCGGTTGACTAAAATATCCGTCAAATATTAAACGAATTATATACCCTTAATAGATGCTAATCCTATTTTCTTTTTAAAAGTACTTCTTAAACCTAAAAGAATGACTATTACTTCTAAGCTCAACTTTTTAGCTATTTGACTATTGTGTCCACTAGTGGATCCAGGATTTTCAGTGGGGTTCAGAAAATAAAAATATAAATGTGTGAACTAGAGTGCAAAGTACAAACTCAAAGAATTAAATTTTAAACAATTAGGCATCTTGCGCACCAAGTAGGAATCGAACCTGCAAACTGGGGATAGTATTTGTGGGCCAAGTTGCACAGTCCAGTACCACTGGGCTATCTTTCTTCTTTGATTTAGGTGGTTCAAAATTAGTATATGTACAGAAATATAGAAAATCTACCCTATATATACAATGTAGTTTTTTGCTCCTGGCAACCACATAGGTCCACCCCTGATTGTGTCTCACCAATCCTTGAATTCTTTACTAGTCATTAAACGAATTTGAAATGAACTCTAAGAACCACCTCTTATATAGAATTTCATTGGCACATTTATCATATTATGGTTGCCGCTAGATCATGTTTT